ATCAGTTGAAGCAGCATATTTGCACAGGGGATACAAATGGGAAACCTTGAATATTCATCTACTATGTTAAGGAAATACCTATTCTGATTTGTGTTGGTAGAGGTCCTTTGATCTTATTCAATCTTTCGAAAGGCTGGGTGGATTTTTATGAGATGAGTCTTCTTGGCTGATGAAGTTTGGCTTGCACTCTGCACGAATACTCTGCATGCTCTGATACTTGTCGCACATCTTCCACTGAGTTGGGCATGTTCTGTGATTTGACAAAATGGTACAGGCGTGTAACTCCTGGGTGACACAAAGCCTTGTGGAGTAGCTGAGAGTGATTGCAAATCATGACATGCCTGCTTCCACAGTGGGGACCTAGAGAATGCATCGGTGAGATGTTCTCTAGACCGGTCGTAAGAATATCCACAGTCGGGATGTCATAACACGATAGTTCCCATCTCCAGCGTAATATCTTGTCATTCTTTATCTTACTTTGTGCTCTTGTCGTACATTCTAATCCGGACGGTTGGTCAGTCTTATGGTGAAATGTCTACAGTTAAATAATGCTCCAGTGGCGAATGCTTCTATGATGGCCATGGGCTTCCTATTCTACAGAAGCTAACATTTCTCTGCTCCTTGAAAGTTTCGAAAAGATGGCTTACTGGTCGTCCTGCCTCAGATAAGACTGCGCATTGGCAATGTCAGATGATCCGTTTCCCCTTTCGAATGGTAGGACTCATCATTGGTTGAACTACTGAGTTTTCAATGTCCTGTTTGAGAGTATGGAAAGCGGCTTCTGCTTCTTTGCCACAGGAATGTTGGTAGCACTCAATGGGCGGATTTACTTGAATTGTTGTAGATCCATTGTGAGTAATGAGGCAAGAGACAAGAGTTCTTCGGACGAGTGACTTTTTGTCTTGAGGCATTGAAGTTTCCGTAGAGGTAGTATATAGTCGTACAGGGTCTGAGGAATATTGAACCGCCTTCCACTACCATAACAAGGATGCTAAGCCTTTAGTTGTGAAAGTGCCTTTTCCGCTTGTAACTGTTATTTTTCTTCTTGGCGGCTTCCAAAAATTATCAGGTTTGCTTCATGTTCCTATGGGTCTTGCACAAATGGTAAACATTATCTAATTAGCGTAGGTTCCCATGATTGTCTTCTGAATGAGTGAATCCATAATTCGTTTGGAAGGCAGGCTACCATTGGGTGACCTCAAAAGGGACTCTGGTAAAATGTTACCAGGCATCACTAGCCTTGAAACGTGTGTATGGTTTATCTTCATTCTTATAGGGACGTGATGATAGGCATCTCGCAGATAATTGTGTAAAACTAGTACTGAGCATTTTTGTTCACTGTATCGTCCAATTGAGGTAGAGGGTACCATCAGAAGTGTAAATTTGTTGATGTATCAGAGTAATCGTTAGCTCAGTCTCCGTTTCCTTTAACCATCTTTAAACAACAACAACCTGTGCACGCCAAGGGGAATCACTCGGTTCTATAATACCCTCCTTCAGCAGCTCTGAGTTTCTTCAAATGATCATCGATCCTCATAAGAATAGCGGCGTGACTTAAGTGAATAGGATGGCAATCGCGGTTAAGATTTGCAAACAGCTTTGGTGGGTCTACTTAAAGTGCTAAGTCCACAGACAACAAGAGGGAGGGGCTGTTCACCTCCATATGTTAGGTGACACTACCATGCGCTTCTGAAAGTCCTGACCAAGGATAACATCAGAGCACAGTTTTGCAGACGAATAGTAAACTGTTACATCTTGATAATCCTTTCCATTGACTCTGAGATTTTCCTTTCAAAACCCTAAGGTCTGAATAGAGAGAGTGTTGATGCCATGGAACGGTAATGAAGAGTGATGTAGTAGTCAAGGGAGAGCGTTTAACTAGTCAATGTTGATGAAACTCTTGAGCTGCCATGATCAAGAAGACCATCTACTTCTGTTCCTTTGCTGAATACTTTCACAAACTGCCTTTGACAGTGAATTTGGAGTAGCGCAGAAGTCCCTGTTGTAGAGTCGCATGATCATCGGAATGTGATGGAGGCAATACTATTGTTGATGCATTAGCACGACATACTTTAGCAAATTGACCTTTCTTGTGGCTTTATGCACATTGCTTCCGAGCAGGACACTTTGGACGTGGATGTCTTGAAAAACCCACACAATGAAAAACCACCGTACCTGCTGATGTGTCAACTGAGGCAGGTTCCCGCCAGTAACTTCATGTGCAGAGTCTTGGTAAGAATTGCTGCCACTTACCATCCGAGAAGGTGAGTGGTACTGTATACTTCAGAATTCTTTCTGGGATGAATCTAGAGCTCTTTGCCTGGTCAAGGCAGCGGCTAAGTCGAGAGTTTTATTCTCCAATAAAACGCTGCCTTATTATTGGTGATTGCAGGCCATGATATAAGCATACTGATTGGACTCTTCCAATACTGAGCAGCTGTCACTGCTTGGAAGTGACAGTCTTACCTAAAATTTTCAGTGCGTGAAAGTATCTACTATAAGACTCAATCAATCTGCTGGCGGTCGAGTTGCAGCGATAGCGTGAAGATTTCATTTGTAGGTTTATTATACTGAGACTTGAGGGTTTTGTTTTGATAGACTCTTCGTAGGTAATACACTCAGAAATAGCCTCATATATCTTAGGTGATGGACACAAAACTGTTGAGCAGACTTAGCTTTATCTAGATCTTCTTTAGGAAGGGCTCCCAAAGAAGTTTTCGAAGTCTTAAACCAGTGCTTCCTTCTCAGCAGCCGTTGATAAGCTGGGCGTCACAGGTCTAGCCTCTAGGTTTCAGTAAACGCTCCATGTTGTGATGTAGTTAGCGCAGGATCAACACAGGTAGCCAGGTTCTATGTTCAATAAATTTGTTGTGATAGAAACACACGGCCTTTATCTCTAGGCTTTATTGAACATAGAATCTTCATTGTATTCTTCAACAAACAAAATATTAATGACTAGACATCAAATAATAGCTTCTACAGGGATGGTGATGTCTTGCATATGTCAAGAGAAAAGTTATAATACAAGGCCACATATTTAAACTCCACCATGTAATTGCATCGCTGATAAATGGTACAATTAGGTGAGAATCACACACCATCCCATGTGTTGGTGCCCATGACACACACAAATGTTGTCGTTGTTAAGGGCCCCTAGAGGTGGTGCAGTATTATCCAGCTGCTGCTCACCTCAGGACCCAGTTTCATACATCTGCTCGACTATAGATTCGCCTGTGTGTTGCGGTCATCACGCTGACGTCACGACATAGGGGGAAGTCGACAAAGATTCAGCTGTATGTGTGCGGTCATCACGTGAAGCCTGACCGCTGAGTAACCACAGTTGGGTTGAGTCAATTGTTTAGACCTGTATTAAGAGGAAAGTACCATGCCCGGAGATGTAGTGGGGGGAGTATTTGAATGCTAACCCCTAGAGGTGGGGAATCCAAAAAAACTTGATACACGGAAGTAAAGTGTTTGTATTATAGATTATCGAGAATAAACTGATTCAAGAGATGGAAGCCACAAGAAAATGGAATTAAAAAAAATATTAAAAAATAAAAATTTGGGGGAGAAGTGGCTGGTGGGGGAAATTTTGTATTATTGATATCGAGAAAAACGTAGATCGAGAGATCTTAAGAATGCTTATCCAGAGGGGGAATCCAAAATATACTTGATCATGGAGATGGAAGCAGAAATTTTGGGATGGGGTGAAAGTGGAAGGGGGCTCAAAAATTTGATCCAAGGAGATGGAGTGCACATGAAATTCAAAAAAAAATTGAAAAAAAATCGGAAAAAATTTGGGGGAGCGGGGGGGCGATTCACGGACGACGCTGCAGAAGGGCTGCAGAAGGCGGGGCGAGGCGCGCGAGCGGGGCGGGTGGGGGTGCGGGGTGGGGGGGGTTGAGGTGAGAGGTGGTTCGAGGGTGAGGTGGTCGGAGGGCGATGGTGGGCGAGGGCGAGGTGGTGGGGCGAGCGATGGTACGTGGGCGAGGTGGTCGAGGGTGAAGGTGGTCGAGGGTGAGGTGGTTCGTAGGGCGAGGGTCAAGGTCACTTAGCATAAAGTGTAAAAAGGAGACCGTCAGGGAATACAGCGCTCAACCGCACCCCTTCTTCAGGAGGGACCGATCAGCCGCATGGACCGCTTCAGCGCATGGACCGCTCAGCGCAATGGACCCGCTCAGCCCATTCACGACTCAGTCGCTTTGGACACTACTTTTATAATATATACCTATATATATATATATATATATATATTATTTTATATAACTTATTTATATATGCCTGCTCTCGCGAATTCCTTGCATTGTAAAATCTCTGTAAGGGTGATGCATGCAGGATGAGATGAAAAGCTGTTTAAGCCTTTCTCCCTCTGGAAAGCTGGCTGCCTCATGGAATTCCAACGTGTAGCGCAAGCTACAACGCCAAAGGTATTGGTCCAGTGTGGGTAGCTTGGTTTAAAGCACTGCGTACTTGTCTTAGGTTCGTGCGTTCGAGTCTCTTCCAGCAGAGATCAGTGTTTGTGTATATTTCGCCTGCTCTGCGAATTCTTGTGTGTTATATATTATATATATATATAAATATATATATATATATATATATTATATTTATATATATATATATTTAGTTTAAAGCCAGAGACAAGGACATATACCAATATTAGAAAGAACTTTCTCATAATGTTAGTAGACGATATTTGCGATAATAGTAGTTAACATTGAAAGGAATCAAGTTAAAATCCACACAAAGGATAATAAGTAAATTCATCGATAAGGATAATGTGAAGTCGGCGGCTCATCTTCCTTTTAATACACCATTCACAACGTGAGTCTTATCTATAACTTTCTCAGTCAATGACAAGTGTTTGTGTATATCTGCAACAATCGTTACGTGACCTTACCTTGGCTACCTTCTTCCCACCGAATGTTTTGACCTGACTTATGGCTTTGTTTTCATTCTTACTCGTGACTTGATGCTGGTCCAGTTTTCATTCCCAATTTGAGAATTAATTTTGATCCTCAATACTGTACTCGACAGAGTTCCAGCTCTGGGCGGGGAGCAGCGCGCTGAGCTGCGACGCATCAAGCAGCAGATCTTTCCCTACCGAGACCCCGACGAGGACCTGGACTGGTCCTTGGCTTTCCATAAATCCATGTACTACCAGTTCTACACCAAGATGCCCACCGCCTGCCTTGAGGTGGGCATCCTCGAAGTGTGGGGCTACGACACCGCCGTCATCCAAGCTCTCACTGACGACGACGTCTTGAACGACATCAACACTGTCAATATAAGGTGATTATACAAGTGATATCTTCATGTCTTGGAAATTATCAAGTGGTGTCTTCATGTCTTGGAAATGTGTGTCGAGGCTGTAGTAAGATACTATACTCTGACTGGCTTTAGTTTCATTCTTTTTTCATTATTATAATCATTCCTCCTTATCTGAGGTCATTGTAATAGCACTGTCACATGTAAGAAAGTCTTTAAAATTAAGCAAAATATTTAAATACAACCTATTTTTTAATCTTTCCGGATCCTTGAAGGAGTCTACCTTGGTGCTGGTAAAGGGCTTTTGACTTAAGAAACTGGAGCTGTCCCCTTCCTTGAATCAAATCTGATTAACCCCACCCCTCTCACTCTTCAGGTGCTTTAATTTCCGCACTTATCCTTGAATATAATAATACCCTTTCCGATGTGAACCTAAACTATTTAGTGTAGTCACAGAGATTTGACTAAAAATTTCAGCGCGACGTTCTCTTACCCAATGAACTTCACGGATTTTCTGGGAGGGATAGTGAAGAACGCGTCGGGTTATATCACAGGGGCGAGGACGGCGCTCACTATGCTTGTGATGCAGACCACCAGGTCCAGAGGAAGCAGTATGCCAGCCAACAGTGCTGGACTATCAGAGGAGGTCAGCTCACTCAAGCATTTCTGGAGTTGATTTTGTATGGAGTGCAGTTCTTGAAACGTTTTGCCTGTATTTTTTTTTTAGGAATAGCCTATGGTTATCTTGTCAATACCTGAGAACTTTAGATCATGGGAGGAAAACATAAACACAATGACAGACTAAAGAATAAATATATTGTATGAAAGTAAAAAATGCTGACTATGTAAAACAGTTTTTAACAGGTTTCAATCAAGTCACAGCATTACACAGTGTGCAACACCTTTCACATAGGGGATCACAATATACAAAAATTTCTTCGTTAAAGTATTCTGATTCACAGGAGACACTTGAAAACATAGTGTACTGGCTTCCTGCAGGTAGATATGGAACTCTTCGCTTGGGAAGGGAAGTACATCCAGTTCCTCAACAACAACACAAACAGACCTCAAGGTCTCCAGGTCTTTTTCCAGTCTCAGCGCAGGTATGTCTTAAACATGGTTCCATATTTGTAATTTCTTGACAATTCTGACAATCACAATGGCAGAATTCTTCATATATTATCTACATTTTTAATGTGTACATTAAAACTGTTCTGATGATCTTACAGGTAATGTTGTTCATAAACTATATATAAAATTTGACGTGTGAAATTAACGCATCAAGCAGCGTCAAGATTTTCGTTCTTCTTTTGAACACGAAGCATTTTTCATGTTCTTTATGCACAGGGTATAATGACATGTCCAGTAAATTAATTCTTTTAATGGCGTCAAAAATGAAAAATATAATTTAGTGACTGATGTTAACTTTTGGTCACTGGTTATACAACTCAGTCTCTTTATTATGGGTATACCTGGGGTCACAACATGAAGCTGTTGTCGAGAATTATTAACATTTCAGGTTCTAGACACATTATATTACTGTGCTGGTCATCGTTAGAGTATTCAGTTCATTCATTCATTCATGTTGATTCGCCGGTACTTCCGGCCCGGGTCTTCTCCAGATGGTGACCCGGCAGTGGCCCCCCGGGTAGGGGGTGACATTCATCTTTTTTCTTCTTTCTTGGGCCCTCCAGTTGGAGGGTAACTTCTATCTTGCGTTGACTCCCCAAGAGGGAAGTGTCTTCATGCTTGGCATCTTCAGTAGCACAGTCGGGCAGAGGCAGAAAACAGGGTTCATTGGAGTCACACCCCAGCTTTAGCAGGCAGCAAAGTGATGGGGAAACTTGTCTTTATGGTGAGTGGTCATTGATTGTCTCTAGAGGAGGGTACCGTCTTCACGAGACCCATTCTGGAGATTCTTGAATTTCTTCTTTGATGTGTAGTCAAATCCCACAAGGCGTAGGGAGGTTCTGAGGCGACTGACCACTTCTTCAGTGCTGAGTGCCGCAGCTGTGTCGAGGGTGTACTTGACTGTTCCCTCCTGGAGGCGATGAGCAAGTTCTGAAGATTGCATTTCGTCCTTATTCTGGTTGGTTGTGTAGAAGTATACACCATTCATGGCCTGGGAGTGTTGTTGTGGTGGATCAGTAGCAGTAACACGGGGAGATGCATCCCTAGGTTCTTGTGTTTTAGCTTTCTTGGCTGGCGGCTGAGCTGGTCGAGGCGAGGCTTCTGATTGGTCAGTTGCGGTGGAAGTGGAAGCAGGCGATGGTGGACTCTCATTGGTGGGATTTGCCGACGTCTCCGTGGCCTCTGATTGGTCCATCTCTGTGTCGAGTGGAAGTTGTGGTAGCGGTGGAGCAGCAGTTATGTTGGTGATAGCGATAGATTCTAGGTAAGACCCCAAGAAGGGGTGAGTGGGGAAGTGGGGATAGAGGAAGAATAGGTTGGTTAGAGGAAGGGTTATTGTAAGAGGGAAAGAACCAGGGCTTAACCCAGTAGCTGAGCTGATGGTGATTCAGGAGGTCGTGCGCAACTAAGGGACTGGAGGGGGGAAGGGGGGAGGGGGGCGACAAAGCGTGAATCGCATGGTACAAGGGCATTATTAAAGGTCCATACCTGTGAGTTACAGGTTAGTGAGTCAAGATTTTAGCTAGGTTATTTATATATAGGAATTGGGTCAGGATCTAGTAACGAGTAGAATAGGTTGTGTGTGTTTGCTGGTCTGCGTATTTCGTCTTCTAAGTATGAGGTCCAGTATTCATGTCGGGTCTCTAGTCTGTCTATTTGTTTGTCGCTAAGCAGTTTCCAGTACACGTTTATGTTGGTGATATTTGCAGTGGTTTTTATGATCTCAGTGGATGGTGGGGATGCAGGAAATGTAAACCCAGGCATATTATTAAGTTTTAAAAGTTCGTTGATGGTGGTATTGAAGGAGCCAGGTTCAGCTATGTTCTGGATATGAGCATACATGATGCAGTAAAGAATCTTGGTGGAGTCGCCAGCAGGAGCTGGCGGGGAAGTGGTGGAGGCAGCTTGAGTGGCCTGTAGGATCTTGGTAGTGTCTGCTTGAAGCTTGGTGATAGCTGCATATGTGGTTGCTTGTGGGTTGGGTTTCTTTTGTTGTTGAAGTCGTTTCTGAGTGTATCTCTTCTGATTGGGCACTTGGCAGCTAGAGTATGGTGGTAATTTTTGCAGTTCAAGCATTTTGGTGGTGAAGTAGTAGTGCACATCTTGAAGTCATGACCCTCAAGGCCACAGGTGGAGCAAAACTTCTTGTTTTTGGCAGGGCAGTCTTTGGTGGTATGCAGGTATGAGTAACAGTTATAGCACTGTGGGATTTGTTAGAATTTTTCTGCTTCAATGAAGGCTGGGTTGATGTGGAAGTAGTGAATAGCCAGGCCCTCGGCGAGAGCTTTGGTTGCCATGTTGACGTCACTGAAGGTGACCTTCAGCATGGATGACGCATTGGGTATTTTAGTGATGAAGTCAACCTTGGCCCAAGGGTTCTGTGCTTCGATAGATGACTTGATTTCTTCAGTTGCCTGTGCAGTGATGAGGTTGTCGAGTCGCTTGAGGAACACAGTTCTCCTGGCCCTCAGAGCAGGGGAGGTCAAGACAAGAAATCCCTGGTCTTGTAGAGTGGTAGTAGAAGTAGTGGTGAGTAGTTTCTAGGCCTCTGTGTCGTCTGTACAGACGACAACAAAGGCTTCTTTGAGCGATAGAATCGCATTACATTTGACTTGCAGTCTGCCGCTAACAACAGCTGCAAGTGCTAGTTTGGACGAGTCATTGACTGTCCCACTCGCTGGTTAGATCTTTACCCTGTTAGAGAAATGCATCGTGAAGTGATGCAGACTAAAGGTTCCCCTCCCCAACGGGGATCGAAGGGAGACTCTTCGAGTATTCAGTGAATACGTCCATTCCCTTGTCCTTAACTCTTACCAGTTGTAAGTAGTCACTTGACCTGCTGAATGGAGTCTGAACCTGGAAAGCTGTGAGAGTTGAGCTTCCATCTCACTATTATCAGAGGACAACTTGCATTAAATGATCCACACGGGTTTAGGGCTCCACATAAATACAATAATATGGTGCCTGCCCACAACATTCTCTTCTTTCCTGAGCATCACTGACGAACTCTATTTATATTTCAACACTGTCTTCTAAAACTTACTTCAGACCTGTCTGTCTTTTGAGATTCATTGAAGCCATTCACTTCTAGTCTTCATTAAGGACTTTTATAGTCTCTGGCTGAAATGCTATGTAGCAAGGGACCACTATTACCTCTAGTAGCTAGTCTCAACCCCCGTCTCGCCTGTCGCGGGACATAGTCATCTGGGAGAAGCCGGTCTGGTAACAATATGCTGGTCTGACTTCTGGACTATACCCAGTAAAACCCATGGCGGAGCATTGGTGTATTACTCAAATCACACTCACAACAGAAATGCCTTATTTAAAAAAGTAGAAGTTTACCAAGCTTTGTTTAAATGACTTATTTTAAGGTGGCTACAATAAAAGTCAGCCACTGCACGCGGCTGCAGTAAAACAGCCACTGTACGCGGCTGCAATAAAAGTCAGCCACTGCACGCTGCTGCAGTACAACAGTCAACCATTGTGTGCAGCTGCAATAAAACAGTCAGCCACTGTGCGCGGCTGCAATAAAAGTCGCATTTCAACAGTTCAAGATGCCGTCAACAGTTACCCATTTGACTGGTTTTACAACATTGGCACAAGAATGCCATCTTGCATGTGAGAGAGTTGCCAAACATATAATACATAGAGGCAATAACGAACATTAGCAGTGTAAATTGTATATCTCACTTATAAGATCTGATCCCGTATCTTGACCGCTAGAGCAATCGGCTCACACACTGAGGTTAGGGGGTCGATCCCCGGGTATGGCTGGAAAACATTAGGACGTGTTTCCTAAAGACACATGCTGTCCATGTTCTCCCATCAGCATAATAGGTACCTGGGTGTTAGTTGACTGGTGTGGGTCGTATCCTGGGACAAAATTGACCTAATTTGCACGAAATGCTCTGCATAACGAGGGGCTTTTTATAGAAGTAAGTCATTGATGCCAGCTAGGCCTGTATACCTTGTACATGTACTTGTAGAAATAGGTTATTATTATTATTATTATTATTATTATTATCATAAAGTAGTATATAGTTATTGTGGCCATAGCTTCTCGCATATCTAGTGACGTTGCTGTTGGATTCAGCCACACTTATGACTGGCTTCTCTTAATCTAACTATGCTCGACTTTTTTTTTTCCATATCCGCAAAGTCACTTCTGGCATCATGCTCACTCCGTGGCTCCTCTTAAGGTTATGCCTAAACCTTGAATGTTTTGCCTTGTCTTTCAAGACTTTGCCCTGGCATTGAATGTCTTGCCTTGACCTTGGTCTTGCCCTGGCCTTGAATGTCTTGTCCTGACCTTAAATGTCTTACCCTGGCCTTGAATATCTTTCACTGGCCTTGAATGTCTTGCATGGCTTTGAATGTATTGCCTTGGCATCGAAGGTCTTGTCCCGACCTTGAAGGTCTTACTCTTGCCTTGAAGTGACTATCCTAGTAGCCATTAAACATTCATAAATTGAAACAATATTATTAGTATCCAGCACGACGTATAGCCTCTAACATCTGGATCCTGAGTCGTGATTCTGGCGTCCCTCGCCAGTCTTCTCCAGAGATCAGATACGCAGGCCTGAAAAATGACCCTCCCCAAAACACTTACAAAATCCTAACACACGATTAAAGACATTTTACAAATTGGGTACAGGGAGAGGTCAAGCTGTATTTGTCACGGTTACTCTACCCTTAATTTAGACTTGTATTTATCTTGCGTGCTCTGTTTCTAACGCATGACTCTTTACCAAGTCTTCTTCCACCCATTCCAATGCTCTTCTCTCCTTCACAGCTTTCACTTCCTCTTCACAGTCCTCTCACTCTTCAAACGTCTCCTTTTCCCTCATAACTTTCATTTTCCCTTCACAATTCTTTCACTCTTCAAGAGTCTCCTTTGCTCTTTGCAGCTTTGGAGAGATCAGCGGAGACACCATCCTGGGAGACGTAACCTTCCTAATCCTGGGCAACGTTACTCTCTTTGTCTACGTGCAGCTGATGTTGGGCAAGTTTAACATGGTGGAGAACAGGGTGAGTAGTGCAGGAAGGAACAAGTTTAACATGGTGGAGTACAGGGTGAGTGGTGTAGGGGGGAACAAGTTGCAAATAAGCAAGGAAAGATACAGTAAATGTGGCTAGATGCACTTAAAATTAAATAGAGAGGAGATAGAGGAAACAGAAAAAAGAAATGCGTGGAGGTGAAAGAGGAAGAGAGAAGTTAGAGGAAGGGGAGGGGGAGAGTTGAAGGAAATAATAATAATAATAATAATAGTAGTAATAATCTTTATTTTTCCAAGTACATGTACAAGGTAAACAAGCCTAACTGACGTCAGTGACATACTACTATAAAGAAAGCTGCATTTTGAGCAAATTAGGTCAATTTTGTCCCAGTATGCGACTCACACCAGTCGACTAATACTCAGGTACCCATTTTACTGATGGGTGAACAGTGGACAGCAGGTGTCTGAAGAAAACACGTCCTAATGTTTTCCAGCCGGACCGGGGATAGGCCTCGGGACCACACGTGTGAACTAAGTGCGCTAGCAACTGAGTTACGGGATACCTTTAGGAAAAGGGAGAAGAGAAAACCTGGATTTTTTTCAAACCATATTGTGTCTATCTTGTCTGATGCTTCAACCCTTCCCCCTCAAAAATATAAACCAGATATATTTCAGTCTCTGTGCTATCCAGTAAAGGTATCCTGTTAAGTTTATTCAGGTACAGGTACATATAAATAGATACATAATTTGTCATACATAGCAGCATATTTGTAGATCACCTAGGATAACCCAAAAAAGTCAGTGACTTATTTCCATTGGTATTGTGGAAAATAATGTATTTTCCGAAAAATCCAGCTTGCATTTTTTATGAAAATTAGTGTAATACATTGTATTTAATAAAAATTAATTTGTAAATGAAAAAGAGACTCGAGAGGGAAGCTCTACGCCTGCACTGACGAGCAGGGGAAGAGACGCCATTGTTTTTTGAATGTGGTACAGGCACGCTAATGTAATGTGCTTAATTTTCGTCGCTCTAGGGGTTATATTGGGCTTAAAACCTCTCAAATAGGAGCCAAAATTGTTGGATGTGCAGTCCTGCATAATTTGAGCATTAAGCAGATGTACAGGACAGCTCCAGGAACCCCAGCTAAGTGTCTGTTTATGTTTAGTAATTCTGGCCAGAAAATTCTTCATAAATGTAGACAGGGGTGGTTTCTGAGTATGATACACAGTAATCTCCAGACAAATTGGTGAGTGTTATGATTATAAATTCTCTTTGTGTTATATAAATGTGTATATGTAATCATTTATTAATTTTTAACATACAATCCACAAATTTATATTAAATTTTACCAGAATTTCTTGTGATGTACATTTCATTTGCAATTAATATAGGTCTAGAGCAACTTGTGGAGAAAAAGATTATGGTAGGTATCGAAGGGGGAAATTTTTTGTGACCTAGATGTCCTAAATTCCTACTTGTCTCTGTAACTTTGATAAATAATAATTATCTTTGTTACCATTTACTGGTATGTATCTAATGAGATACATCCAGATAAATGTAATTTTCCATAATTAGTTGCCCGTTGGTCCTTGACCGAACTGGATGTAATTAGTGAAGTCATTAATTAGTGAATTAATTACTTAATAATTATATGTGAAATGACAGAAGGAGGTGGATGTTAGGTCCACAAATTTACTTAATGTGTAGTGGATTATAATTATTACAGTACTAAATTTGCTAAGCCAAAGCCTGGCTAGGATTTATATTAGTGTATTTGTATAATATTAATTTTGGTAAGCCAAATTCTGGCAAAGATTTATATTAGTGTATTTGTATAATATTAATTTTGCTAAGCCAAAGCCTAGCAAAGATTTATATTAGTGTATGTGTATAATATTAATTTTGCTAAGCCAAATCCCTGGCAAAGATTTATATTAGTGTATTTGTATAATATTAATTTTGCTAAGCCAAAGTCTGGCTAGGATTTATGTAGACAGCCTGTACTGTTTGCACAGAGAGCCTTGCTGTCTGCCAGCTTAGTTCATATTTCATGCCACTCAGGTGCTGCCCTCTGGGCCTGTCCATGTCTGTGGGAAGTTGGTCCCACACTCACGCACTCTCACAGCGGCCTAGGAGGAAGACACAAGGCCTACTACTAGTTCCCTCTCATGGGCATTGCATACCCGAGCCATGGGCACAACACACAAGCCTGTGTACCCACCACGACTTTGCAAATAAAGTAAGAATCCTCCGAAGATGTATCATTCACGCACCCACTTTCATTGTATGAAATAAACCCCTTATAAATGGTGGGAAGCGGTGGTCGCAGCAGTTGTTTGCCCGGAGAGAGGAAGGGATGAAGTCATCTTCACTTCATCACCCCATGCAAGAAGCATCCGTCTCTCAACTAGTTATCCTGATGTCGTATCTGCACGTTTGAGCATCCAGACACAGGTACAAGCAGGATCCAGCCGAAATTTACCGAATTTCTTCGAGAATTGTAAGTGGCGTCCCAGTGACCCCACGCTACAGTGTCCCACACTGTTTCTCAAGTCACATGTTCAGCGTCACTTGTATGTTGCTGTTGTTGCTCAGCTCAGCACAGCTGTTTCAGCAAGCCAGAGGTGAATTTTGTGGTGATTTCTGCGTCCAGTGTGTTTCCCTGTGTTTGTGGGTGGGAGGAGGAGGAGGAAGTGGCTAGACGCTCCCTCGCCATACACTCACCCACGCTCCTTGCCACCACACTACCATACACTTACCACTACTCACTCCCTCTGCTGCGTTTTCTGCTGTTTTCCATGTGAATTCATTGCCAGAGCTGTGTATCCGAGTGCCCGAGGCCACTCGAAGCTACATGGATCAGCATGCCACGTAGATCAGCAAGCAACATGGATCAGCAAGCCGCACGGATCAACAAGCCATGTGGATCAGCATGCCACGTAGATCACGACACCACGTGGACCCTGACACCACGTGGGGTGTGGGTGATGTCTCGTGGATCTACAAGCCATGTGGGTTACCAAGCCAGATGTCCCAGGCCACATGCTCTGGTCTGCTGCCCGCATCACATTGACGTCACCTGACGATGCTGCCCAACTTCATGATGTCACGATGTCTGCCTGACATCACCTCGAGATGTCTGCTGACGTCACAGTGCTGCTGACGTCACCTCGCGACGTCATGCCTGACATCACATGTCACATCGAGTGTTCTAGTCATTATTTCAGTATTGTCGAGAAGATTGAGAGAAGATATATGACGTGTAATTAATTCCTCTCAGTCAGTGTTCTCACATGTTATTGTATGGCTTAGTGTCAGTTTTGTGCACAGAAAAGCATCATTTGATAGTTAAGCCATGTTGTAATGCATGTACCATGGGTGTGTGTAAAGCTTTCCATTAGTCCAGTGTCAGACCTTGTGTAGCACCACTGCTAAGTCACCCAGCATGACCAGTGTGTTTGACAGCAAATATCAATCAGCTCTGAGCCCAATCCCCCTTGTACAGAAAGCTCTTATGGTCGTCGCTCGTGACGTTCTGCAGAATCGTACCTGCTACGATTCCCATCGAGATTTGTTTCACTTCACCTCCAGACCTTCAGAGTGCAGTTATGTGTAGAGAAACAAGTCTGGGGATGCTTAGACTAACCTCTGCTATAACTCCAACTGCCGAGAGAATGACACTCTTCAAGCCGCAGTTAGCCCTGTCGGCCGGTGCTGTGTCAGCCTCATGTCACAAGCTTCATTGAGCAGCCTGCACAAAGAAGATGTCGCTTTGACTGCTAGCTTGCTCACTGCAGTCTGGTGTATGATGTTACAACTCCCAGATGTTTCGCCCAGTCGTCTCTGCCACAACTCGCTCCACGCTCGCCGGCAATGACAGCCCAGCGACAGTACCAGTCGAGAAGTGTCCTCCTGAGTCACTTACCAGAAGTCCTGCCCAGTTGCCGAGTTTTGTCGACGCCTCACTCGAGGGCACCAGCATGTCATACCCCAGGTTGAGCGAAACCTGCAGTGACTCCTATGATGTCTGCTTCACCGTTCCAGAGGAGACCGTACCGTTATCACACAGCCCAATATCTTGTGTTGCAGTATCTCAAGAGCAGGAGGCATGCAGTGTGCCATCGATGCTCACTGCTTTGAACACAATGTATAGCACACCCCAATGTTTTTTTTTTTTGCTGAATTTTTTTTCATTAATATTTATATTATTTTTTATTTGTGTTCTGTGCCCTTTCCAGAGGACGAAGTATTTTTTTACCGCCAGACATGGTTTGGCGACCATGGAGGTGGCCCAATGTAGCAGGATTTATAAGGTTTAAAAGCCATGCTTTGCGAGCTTGTTATATTTGTCCACTAAAGTTCTGCCCTAGGGCTGTCAGTCTGTGGGAAGCTGGTCCCAACATTCTCACTCTACAGCGGCCTAGCTGGAAGAAAACACATCCTTTGTGGATGGCCCTCGGGCCATGGGACAAAACAAAGCTGTTAACACGATTTCAAGAAAGGGAAGAACCTCCGCAGCCTTAATTGTCTCACGCACTGCATCGCAAAAACAATTTATATTATATTAGTGTATATAATTAATTTTATTGCAAGTTGGCTAGTTAATCTTAAAATTTATAATTAAATTTTTAAATAATTCTAGTTAAGTGTAGCTGAATTTAATTAATACATTTAAAATTTATATTCTAATTTTCTTACAGTGTATTGCTAAGTCTAGTGTAGCTAACTTTATAATGTATATTTAAAGTTTATATTATAATTTTCTTAATGTAATTGAGCCAAGTGTAGCTAGATTTATTAAGGTAGTTGTAAATTATTTATGAATGTGCTAATTAAATTACTAATCAGTGTTATTAATTAAGTTGATTTAATACATTCATCACCCCCATGCAAGGCAATGGTGAAAATGAGGAAATTATGTAGAAGCAACACATGGAGTTAGAGCAAAAATCATCTTTCAGGCTGGGAAAGGTCATGTAACAAAAGCATAAAATAATTTTTTGGAAGTAATGAGTCAAGAAACTGTG